TAGTGCCAGGCAGTGTGGTGCTGTGTCTAGACAGCTCTTGGAAACCTCCATGCATGGAGATGGTGTGGCCTCTTTGGGCAACATGTCCCACTGCTGGACTGTTCTCATGGGAAAAAGGCTTTCCTTATATCCATTTCCTTCTTCCTCTGTTCAGGGCAAGAGTCCATTCATCTGACCTCATGGTGGCCCATCACTGAGCTTGCTGCAGTTAGTTGGCATCTTCCTGAAACTGGGAGCCTAAAACTGGACACAGCATTCTGAATGTGTTCTGACAAGTAATGGGCAGTCATCACTTACTACCCTCTTCTTCTGGCCTCCTGCTGGTGCAGCCCAGTATACTGTCTGCCTTCATTGCTCCCAGGGTGCACTGCTGGCTCATGTGTAGTGTAGTGTCCTCAGGGACCCCCCAGCCCTAATCTTTATTGCGGTCTAGCAGAATGGGCTGATCACAGATCTTTCAGAGATTGCTTCTGTCTGGGCTCTCCCTACTGAGTCAGGATGTCCAGTGATCATATGCTGTGGTGAGTCATTGCTGTGACACCCAGCAAGCGGCACCTGCATGTGACTCTGAACTGACTGTACTCATGGAGCCCAGAGTTTCTAGTGGAAACACCAAATGTGCTGAGTGGGTGCAGTGTACCCATCCTTGCGTTTCAGAATGCAAACTTGTTGGCTGTGGTCTGGCCACATCTCTGTGGGATGGGATGGCTACTGGTTGGCTGTCACATGCAGAAAAGGCCAGAGTTTGGTTTCACGCTTTCTTGGCACAGGAGAGGCAGGAGCACATACCCTGCTGTTCTTCCTGTTGCCGGAATTGTTTCTGTTCCCACAAGCATCAGAGGTCTGGCAAAGTGGTGCTCCTTTTTCCCCAGGGCAGTAGGTGGGATGCAGACAGTAGCAGTGTAATAGTATAGAAAGAATGGAAGTAAATCATGTACCTGAAAATAGAACATCTCACTGCTATTACTGTTGTGCTGGAGCAGAGGAGGGCTGGATGCATGGTCCTCCTAGGAGTCCTCAGTGTGCAGCAGGATTACCTAAGGAAAGGGCTAATTCACACTGCTCTTGTAAACAAAGCCTAAAGCTGTCTGCTTTCATGACTGAGAACCTCACTGCATGGCCATGATGCACTAGAAAGCCAAGTGTGAGGAGAGACTGCAGCTCACGAGAGCTCGTCTCGGCACTGGGCAAGTTATTCTGAATTCTTGAGCGCAGCTTTTGCACTCTGGAAAAATATATTTTGGGAAGAAATATTTACATTTTGAAGCACTGTAAATTGCAGTTATTAAAAGCTAGAAGAACTATTATTTTCCAAGTTTGGTTTTTGGATGCCTGTTTGTTCTGCAGTTCAATAAGGGAGCTAATGCTGAAGACAACCAGCGGTTGAAAAAAAGAGAGATATTTTAAATGTTATCTTTTTAAAAGACCTTAAAGTCTGGTCCATTTAGATCTTGAACTGCTTTACATTGTTTGTTAAATACATAGAGCAGAAGGGGAAGCAGAGACATCAACAGCGGAAATAATTTGTCAAAATGAATGTAGAAAAACAGCGCAGTTCTTTGGTGTCAGTTGGTGGTGACTGAATCTCATCATTGTGTTGCCTTGGCTGCCTGCCTCAGTACCTGGCCTTGCTCTAGTGTAAAATGAGGAACTGAAGAGCAATGAGGCACACTGATGGCACGAGCCGTAAACTGTAAGTATTAAATACTACATCAGTCTTAGCTAACTTCTTGTTTCCCTAAGGTGAAGCCTCAGCTAGAAGAGAAAGAAGGGAAAACCTTTGATGTCTTCACTGCAGTTGAGTTCAAAACTCAGTTGGTGGCAGGGACAAACTACTTCATCAAGGTAGAAGACACTGGGCAATTGAAAAAAAAATTAATGTTGGAATGTTTTTTGTGTTCACTTACCTACACAGAAATGCTTGTGATTTAGTTTTAAAAAAGAAGAATATGTGTTCATTAAAAAACGAAACAAAAACAAAAGAATTTCCCCACTGCCTCCCAGCCAGTCTCCTTGTCTTAAATGGAGATGTGCACATTTCTCTATTTTCATAATAATTTGTACTGTTTAGTTGTTTGTGAAAGTTGATTTTGTTAAAGCTACACCTCCACAATGCTGAACACTAATGTATTAAGTGTATTAAGTAAACCCCAGATTTGTAAAGATACAGCCAAGTATGAAACCTTTTTTCACTCTGCCTATAGTGATGACACGCACACACACACACAAAAGTGGTCAAAGCACTTAAGTGTTTGCTGTTCCAGATAAGCTTCTCACTAACACCAGTTCCCTGTCTGTACGTTCCCTGTCTTGGGTAGAGGGAGGGCTTGCAAATCCAAGGTTGAGGTGCTGTTTCCACCAAGATGCAGCTCCCAGTCTGCCTCAGAACAAGGTGACACCTGCTGAGGGGGTGCTTTTTCTCTACCACCTCTCTACTTGCCCCATCCTCAAAACATGCCAGCCTAAACCCCTCTCCTGATGAAAGTTGCTCCACACCTCTTACTGGTTTTCATACTTTATAGGTCCATGTTGGCAATGATGAATTCATGCACCTGCGGGTGTTCAGAAGCCTTCCTCACGAGGACAAGCCATTGAGTCTTCGTGGATATCAGAGCAGCAAGACCAAGCATGATGAACTGGCCTATTTCTAGTAAATTTATTACATGCACTTTCCTAATGATTTCTTACGTGTATTTTCTGTAGGCTACAAAATGATGTTTCCTGTGCCAACAAAGAAAACTTTTCTTAAAAAACGTAGTCCTGGAAAGAAAAAACATCTTACTCCATTCCTTTACTGTGCAATATCTAAATGAATCACATAGCTCTCCTTTCACCTTTTGCTTATGCTAACCTGAGTAGCTGCACTGATTGTAGTGTAGCTTAATACTGTGTTGTGTTTGTGGACTTCCCTGACCTGGAAATTGCCAGGGAGTGGCACCAGCACTCACATATTTGCATCAGAGAGCAAGAGGAGAACCTGAATCTTTATGTGCTGCTTTGCAACTGTGGGCATATCCATAGATTTAATTGTATTATGTTTTATATTGGCAATGACTTGAGGCAAGAGACAGAGGTGGGCTGCAGTCTTTTGTAAGAAACATTCCCCTGGTAGTAATGCTTATCCTGTTGCCAGCAGTAGGATGTAATGTCCAGTAGAGGATGTACGAGTTTTGTTGTGTATAATTGCTTATTTTCTGAGTGCTGAGGAAAACTACTGGGAAGGAACTTCATCTGGACAAGCATTTCTGCATTTATGACAATAAATATTTCTCTCAAATTTAGATGGTATATTTCACTGGTGTTTCACTGTTTTATTTATTACTTTTTCAATACAGGTGATTATCTTGCTCAGAGCTTTTATCCATAAGCTTTTTTCATATTCCAGGTGTCCTTATGTTTACATTTGTTTTTATGTTTTAATTAAAAATACTTTATTTTAATCTGGAGAGGGACATGGAACACAGAAAGGAAGGCTTCAGCAGGTATGTCAGCAATAAGAGGAGTGCTAAGGAAAATGTGGGCCTGTTGACAGAGGACACAGAAAAGACTGAATGCTGCTCAGTGTTGCCTATGTCTTCATTGGCGGGATTTGCCCTCAGCATCTGGAAGTCCCTGACTAACAGGAGAGTATGCAGAAAGGAAGACTTTCCCCCCTGGAAGGAGAAGGTTGTGCATTGGAAGTTTTGACACGTGCCTTGTATAGTGAACTGGGGAGGGGAGAGATGTTGTTGCATTCTGAACTGAGGGGTACCAGCCCACTGTTATATTACACTGCTGTATGTTCTTGGTCCTATAGTATGTTCTTGCTCCTAGAAACTCCCCACAGTTTTGAGAATAGAGGGCATGGTGAACTTACATGTGTATTACTGTGCTTCTTACATACAGTGTAGGTAGCATTACTAACACAGAGCATGTTCTGCTTCCTGATTATTAAGGGAGGCCTTACCAGATCCCTTAACTACTTTCTCCAAATATGTGCTTTTACTCATATCTGCCAAAAGAGTCCCCACCCCCAGTGTTAAACATACAAAGAGTACATCTGCATTGTAACACAGTTCCTGTTTTGCTAAAATGAAGATGTTCTGGAGACACAGTTGTTTTTTGTTGCTGGTAAACTTATAAATCAGTGGTTCAAAAAGCTGAATATTTTTGCCAAATGCTCTTTGGAGAGGAGGACAGCTAGTGCTGATAAAGCCAGGTTTACAGCATTTTCAAGACATCTGACAGCAAGATTCAGCCCATGGAAAATATTAGGCAGTAATCCCAAAGGCACAGGAATCTACGGATTGTCTTCACACTTCATGGACTTAAAGCATTTGATTTGATGTCTCACCCCTGAGTACCAGCTCAGAGTTGCATGGCAGGTAACTCCAGAAAACCTGCCTCAGCAGCTGCCAGCAGGAAAATAAGGTTGTGGTGCTTCAGGGTTGCCCTCTATCTTTGTTCCCGCAGAAGTCTTAACTGAAGACTTGTCACTGCAGGTGGCTGGTGCTACAAAAAAGAGTGAACTCCATACATGCCCAGTCATCAGGGTCACTCCTTACTCCAGGGCCTGAACACGGATTGAGCTGTTTCTGCTGCAGCTTCTCCCGCTCCTTTGTGTAGTTCCACCCCTTCCTCATTTCCACCCCAAAGAGCCAAACTGCTTTTAGAGATGGGCACGTCCTGTTTTAGAGAGTTTGACTTCTCAGTTCCTCCCCTAGAAATACATTTATCTCACACAGCTGCTGAAGATCAGGCAATAGATTGTAATTAATGCACTTAAAGCAAACCCAAGAAGTATGTGGCCTGTTTCACTCAAAAGTACTCTCACAACAGCCTGAGCTTTGTATTCAGAGCTTGTCTTGACAGTACTTGGAAAGAAGAGCTGAAAGGGGTGTAGTGTACACTGACTCGGAGCTACAGTAGTGTAGGTGGCAGAAGCAGGTGTGGCTAGTACTTCAGAGCCCCCTGAAGCTTTAGCCAGGCAGCGGATCCAGACATGACACATGCTAGATGAACAGCTTTCAAATGTATTTTATTCTCATGCATTTGCCAACAGGCAGAATCCACATGTGACTTGCAGAAGTGAGGAACCATTCCTCACCACCCTCAGAAGTAGACCAAAGGATCATCTCTGGTTTTGCCAGTCTGATAATCGGTAAGGCTGGGACCTTGGTTCTCCTGAGGAAGGGCTTGAAATATTTTTAAGTGGACGTACCCATTATCAGAATTTTGGACCTGGAAACAAGAACAGCAGGAGAGTGAAGATCATGTGAATAACTAAAATGTGTATACTCAAGAATATGTTCTGTCAGAACTTAATTTTAGGCATATCTTCAATTCCACTTAAGCAATTCTTAATCAAGTCTGGGCTGTAGATCATGATAGAAACTATGTTTCTATGTAATAGAGACTGTAATAAACCATTATAAAAACTTCAGATTCATGTTAATGGAAAATGAGGACTGCCCAGGTTTGGAAGCACCCAAAGGAATAATAGGAAATATGTTTTGATGGCATCCTATCTTTTTAACTCATCAAGATTCCACTCAGTCCATCAGCTTGAAACTTCTCAGAGTTCTTGGATCAGTAGACAAAAGCCAACAAGCAAATCCTAATGACTCAGAGTGGGGACAAGACCCAGAGAGTTCCTACAAGATACAGAAAGAACTATCCAAAACCAGCACATGGTTCTAAGGAACACTGTAGAGAAGCAGTGACAATTGAAAGCCAAATCTCTTGTCTTCAGAATCACTCCAAACACACTGGTGCCTGGCCAGGCAACGTGACATGTTTTTGTGCTTGCAGGAATGACCACGAGTTTATGAATTAATTTTTTTTTAATGAACTTGCCCTTCCCTCCAGAAAAGTCCTTACAAAGATTTCCTACAAAGTTGTGCATTATTTCCTCTGTGCAGAGCCAAGTACAACAGGTGCTTAACTCTTACAGAGGTCCACAGTATGAAAGAAAATTTTAATGCCTTTGGCTTTAACAGGTCTTCACATGCTTTCTGGTGACAACAGCATGGCACTATGTCTTGGTCTGGATTACATCTCAGCTGTAAGTCTGTTGGTAAAATATTAGTAATGTGGAAAATTCCAAAGTATTGCAAAGAATGGCTCTTGTCACAGAGCTCATGCCAGTCAATACTAAGAGCAGCTTGGTCATGAGGCTTAGCATGGAACCAAGGCAAGCACTTAAATGTGATTGCCTAGCTCAGCAATAAGACAGAGCTGAGGGAAGAAATGCAACCACACATGACTTCTAGCTTTACCACAGCTTTCTGTGAATTGTTACTCTTCATCAGCACTTTGCCCAAAAAATGAAGGCTCATCTCACAGGAGCAAGACAAGGATAAACATTCATTTAAGCAGAGCTCAGATTAGCCATATAATATGACAATTGCCCAGTGCCCCGAGAATGTAGAACTAACTGTGAGAAGATATTTTAAGGAGAGTTTGGCAGTGTCTGCCCTTCCACGGATCAAATAACATGAGAGCAAATGCTTGCGTCTCTGCAGAAGCACTGCCCCCCAAACCTCAACTGCCAATTCTCTTCACGTCAAGGGAGCACGTCAAGTGGCTGACACACAGCCACACACAGATGCAGTGTTTTCTCTACTTACAGAAAGCCAGCCTCCTCTTAGCAATGTTTTCCTGCCTTCCATTCTGGTTGCAAACTACGCTCTTTAACTTCTTACATGCTAGTTCTGAAAAACCTGCTCAAATCCATGGGTAAGCTTTTCCAGAAGAGAATGAATCCCACTATCAGAGGACTCCAAGTGAAGCGTTCTTTCACAAATGAAAGTGTTGGCTTTTTTGTTGATTTGGTTGTTGAATTTTTTTTGTTGTTTTATTGTCTTTTGTTACTGTTTTTAAATAAAGCAAGAACTAGCATGCAGGCTGTACCTCTGCAGTAGATGACACAGAACTAAAGCATGGACACATGCCTGCATGCAGCCCTTGTCAGCAGAATCTGGGATGCTTGCATTACATTAAAATAATATTTCTCCATCAGATCCTCCGGCTGACCTGGAATTAATTGAAATAATCACTACCAGGGAACGGAAAGGCAATAGGAAAGCCCCTGTATTGCCTTGAAAAGAAAAGGAGCAGAGTTCTGGCTGGTAGAGATAATTTGAACTGATAAGGCAATCCATAGTCTCTGAGATGATCCTGCAAGAAGTTATCATTCACATCTGAAGAAGCTGTTCATGCTTTTTAAGTTTTTATATTCCTGTTGTATGGTGGTGACAGAAGAACTTTATAAATATATGGAGATACTCCTACCTCCATTAGTCACATAAGAGAAATATTTGCATGGTGGCAAGAAATGGAAGCAAGTCACCTACACTGTTTAACTACAAAGTAGTCCCTCTTATCATATGTACAAACCTTAATGAAGTAGTTGATTCCAGCAACCACTTGAGTCCGGTATATTATGGCTGTAAAGATGTTATAGATCTCATTCTCCCTGCTTTCTAATTGTGGCTTCACCTGTAAAAAGAAAGGGAAAAAATGGTTGGTAGGTTCATATTTTAGCTTTTCCTTCCTGACAACTACTCCAAATTTTCAGCTTTCCAAGCATACACCCGTAATGAACTAAACTCTGAACCACCAAAATAACTCAGTGTACATCCAAGTCTTCAGCTCTTTTTCCTACTTTAAATATTACCTCCAGCACTCTTTAACATCTCATCTACAATTAGTCTTCCTCATAGATTTTTTCCCTACAAGCTGTCCAGATAAACTGTATCCTGCCACAGGTCAGTGCCAGACCTGTGTAAACATCATGAGCCATTTGCTACACAGCAGCTGCAGATAATGTAGCTTTGGAATAATCAAGTTCCATTCCAACCAAGGTTGGAAAAGACCTCCAAGATCTTCTAGTCCAGATATCCACCTATCACCAATATTTCTCACTAAACCATGTCCCTCATCTGAACGTTTCTTCCAATAACTTCCATTAATCATATGCAGGTTTCTCATAACCTCTTACTCTAATTCAAGTAACTGCTCAGAGCCATCTGCTCCTCTTGCACACTAATGAGGCTTCTCCATGTGGCTTCTGTCCCAGACAGCAGACAGTTATACTTCCAGCTCAGGAGCTGCTGACTCCGGAAAACAGGAAGATTTCCAGTCCCGTTCCAGCCAGGTGGGTTTGGAGGCTGCTAGGGGCAGAAGTTAACTGTGGTGTTTTTGGTACCCTTGGTTCCTGCCTCAGTAGAAAAAAACATCAGTGTTGCTCCTCTCCAGACTCAGGATGTCTCACGAACTCTGACCACTATTTCCTCATTTGTCATAGCCTTCCGTAAAACCAGGCATGCAGACAGGCAGCTTCTTAATCCTCAAATGGAAAAAAAGCTGCTTCTAAGCCCTTATCTAACAACTGCTTAAACCCCAAGCATTCCTCAGTTTTCCTCAGTTTTAGGCAACAGCTATAAAACAATGAGACTGAACAAACAACATCCCCCAGCTTGCTAAGGATTAGGCTACAGAGAAGGCAAAGGTGCAAGTACACAACTACATAATCCCAAGAGCTGACAGGTCCTGAACATACCACAGTTTGTAGACACTTTTCATAACTGCATTCAAATCATACCAATTGCTCCCACTCTTAGCAGAGCATAAAACCATACAGAATGACATTATTAAAGGGTGACGTTTATCCAGCTGGGAGCACAGCAGGGCTGCCCAAACACAACTCATGCCTTCTCAGTATTTTTCCTATGAAACCTCAAGGGGGCTCTGCAGCAGTGTGTGAGGTTCTGCAAAGGAACAGAGCCAGTGAAAGGGTTGCAGGGGGAGGATCAGGGCCACTGGGAGGACCACGGAGACTTCTCTTTCCCGCTCTCAGCACAAGGCAGACATTCACCTTGTAGAAAATAAATGGTGAAGAATAATTCATTTTCATTTTCCCAAAGATACTGAGAGTAGCAGAGCACCATATTATTCGTATGTTACAGTGTTCTACATAGAAGGAACAGTGATACAGCTCCTAAACAATTCAATTCACATTCCCAAACAATTTTAGATAACCCTTCCCCTTTCTGTTTTGTAGTAAATGACCTCCCCACTGACCAGCCTGTCTGCATTACCCACTGTCTCCTTCCTTCATACTCCAACCCTTCCCCACTTATATGTCCAGCCTACACAGCCTATTGGCAGGATCTCCTGCTGGCTATGCCTTGCCCCATACACAGCCCAGCTCTCCTACTCTGGCTCCTTCATTGCTTGCTCACAGCCTGCAAGCTTGCAGGAAACACAGAGCAGTGCCGGTACAAAAACCATCCCCTAAGGCACCTCAAAAAAGGGAGCTGGAGCCCTGCACACGCAGCAGTGTGCAGCACTGTCAGCCAGCATCTTCAGCTGCTCTGCTTCTTACATGCATTTCCTCAAGGAGGGCTTAAGTTACACTGTGGGCAGCTTGCAGAGGGAAGAACTCATCCCTCAGAACTGTGAGGGTGAAGGCAACTGCTGGAATCACCTGGTAGGTGTCATGAAAGGAGCGTTGTTGTACCTTTTTGTCCCTCTCCAGCTCCTTGGGGTGCACCTTATAGCACTTTAAGAGTTGCTACACCACAGAGCATAACGGGATCTGCAGGTTATCAATGATGTGAGGAATTTTCTCCCTTCAAATACCTCAGTGCTGACATAGTAGATTGATCTTCTACCTATATGCAAGAAGTAACTAAAGGTAGCCACCACTATGCCTATCCACAGACAAAGAAAGAAAGTGATTTGGCTTCATCTTGTTGGCACAGTGCCTCTCCAAAATGCTGAGAAAATACACACTGGCAATCACAGAGATCCCCATTTTCAGCTTTGTCAGTTTAAACACTCAGTATCACCACTTGGTCTTTCTAGCTTCGCACAAGATTCAAGATTCAGCCCTTTACACAGAATTCATCACGGAATTCAGGCAGGGTTCAACTCACCTGGTCAGCAATATGCTGGACCTCTGGAGTAGCAGGTTTAGGGTCAGACAAGCCTCCAGTCATCATGGTGGCAGGAAACTTCTTTGAGATGTACAATGGTTCTGAGAAGGGATGTCCAGTGAAGTCTGGGAAGAGTACCTAGGCACCTCCTATAAATACATACACATGTGTCATTGAATCATATGACGTTTAACATACGGAGCTTACCATTACTGAACAAGAGGGGGAGAGAAATGGGGAAAATAGAGGCAAAAGCCATGTAAAGCTGCAATTATACCCATACAAAATGTAAAGAACACTTTCAGATTTTATGTGCATAATGTTTCCACATCAATAAAAAAAGAGTAAATGAGTGTCTCCATCCCCCATAATTTAACATAGTTGGTTTGGGCTGAAACCAGAAGCTCTTGCCTCTCCACCCACATGCAGGTGACTATCCCATGCACTCAGGAAGTTGATCAAAGTCACACCTAGTGTTTCCCAACACCATCCGAGATCAGCAGAAAACATTCAGAAACTTCCTTAGCACAAGTCTCATTGAAATTGTATCATGATGGGATTGAGTTCACTCAGCAAGCCTGCTGATGACACCAAGCGGAGTGGTGCAGTTGACACAATAGAAGGAAGGGATGTTGTCTGAGACAGGTAAGGAATGTCTCAAATCAGCATTTGGCAATCAGCATCACTTTGTGGACAGTTCTACATTTGAAAGCATTTCTTTGGACTTGTTTGCCTTTGAAGGGGAAGGCCCAGGAGTGTTTATTGGCTGAAGATTTGTCCTGAGAGCAAATGCAACCAGCTGATACAAGAGATTTGGAGATGATACTACTGTATCTCATGAAGGCAAAATAGAAGCTGGCTTTTCCCTTCTTCCTCTACCTGCTGACTTAAATTTGCAAGGCCTAGAAGACAGTAACAAGGGAGTTTCTGCTGAGATCCTGAAGCCAGGAGCCATCACTGCAGAAGAGCAGCCTCGGCTCTTTGGACTATAAGAAAGAGTTTGTAATGTCGTCATTAGTCATCAGCTGACCAACACAATCTCTGGATGACCCACCACTAGTGGAGATCAGCACCTGGCACCGAGACATAGTTGGATCAAGGAGTAGTGAGCCACTCTGCTCTGTGTATCTGTCTGTCTGTCTCTTTCCTCATTTTTTAAAATCTTTTCTCTTTATCTTCTTTTACTCTTTCACTCTGTGCAGTAGCCATTGCCTAATAATTTCTTACCTGTAACTCCTATTAATCATAATTAGCAAATTAGCCAATGTTACCTCTGAGAGCATTAGTTGTTGTTAAAAAAGATTTCAACAAGTTGATGTGTGTTATTCCTCTGAGTCTAGGATGACTTGCAGACCCCTGCTGACTAGAAGAGGTGTGACTCAGGAGACAGAAAAGGATTCACCTCCCTCTAAACCTACTGTGTGGGACAAGACAGATGACATCCAGAGGGACCTGGACAGGCTTGAGGAGTGGGCACATGAACACATAACGATGTTCACCAAGGCCAAATGTGAGTTGTTGCACTTGAGTCAAGGCAACCTCAGGCATGTAAAGACTGGCAGAAGAACTCATTGGGAACAGCTCTGCAGAGAAGGGCATGGGGATACTGGAGGATGACAAGCTGGACATGACCCTGCAGTGTGTGCTGGCAGTCCAGAAGGCCAACTGCATCCTGAGCTGCACAAAAGCGGCCAGCAGGGAGAAGTAGGTGACTGTCCCCCTCTACTTTGCCATTGTGAGGCCCCATCTGGAGTAATGCCTCCAGGCCTGGGGCCCCCTGCATAAGAGAGATGTGCAGCTGCTGGATCGACTCCTGAGAAGGGACACAAAGATCATCAGATGGCTGCATCACCTCTCCTATGAAGAAAGTCTGAGGGAGCTGGGCTTATTCAGACTGGAGAAGAGAAGGCTCTGGGGGAGACCTCTTTGCAGCCTTCCGGTACATGAAGGAAACTAACAGCCAGAAGGGAGACCAACTATTTGCACAGGCAGACAGTGACAGGACAAGGGGAATGGCTTTAAACTAAAAGAGGGGAAATTTATTTTAGATGTTAGGAAGGAATTCATTCAAAGCGCGATGAGGCACAGGCTGCCCAAAGAGCTGTGGATGCCCCATCCAGGTTGGATGGAGCCTTGGGCAGCCTGAAATGGTGGGTGGCAACCCTGCCTGCAGCCGGTGGGTTGGAATTGGGTGAACTTTAAGGTTCCTTCCAACCCAAACTGTTCTGTGATTCTAGGATTCTAGGATCTCAATAGCCTTCTAAATAGGCAGATTTTGTTTTCTGTGCAGTGACTTTACTTCCTTCTGCTTGATCAGGAAGCTGCATGGCCAGAGACAGAAGGGGAAAAAAAATAATCCTAGGCTCAGGTAAGTACCACAAACTATTTAATTCCATTACCTTTCCTACAAAACATATGGTTGCATTCAGAAAATCATGGAAGTAATTCAATATGTTGTACCATTTACACTTTTCTGACCTCCTCACAGATAACAAGTGATGCAACACACTGCAAACATGCACTTCATATCTAGCCTCAAGGTTTATTCTTGGTACAAATAACTTGAGATTGAGAAACTGGGGCTGACAAGGGACTAAATTCAGGGATATATAGAATGAGATAGGAGCATGTTACAGATAAAGATGTTGTAGGATTTCCCAAACGCAGCAGCATTATGTGACTCAATAAAAGCCATACGAGGAAAAATAGTTCTCCTGGTAAACATCTTTCCGAAATATATTCCCAGTTTTTGGGAACAAGTGCTCAAGCTGGAAGCCTGCCATTTCCTCTGAATTCACCACCCCAGATGAAATACTCGTAGCACATTTTGTGGAGTACATGATAACTCAAGCCAATGAGTTCAACCTCATTCTTTTGCATAACACACAGCTGATTCACTCAAACACTGATGAGTTTTCACTACACTTCCATAGAAAGGCAGACGAGCTAACTGGAAGAGCTAGTTCACCTTACTGAGGTCAGAAGCCACAGGATACATTCAATAACTAAGCAGCGTCAGTGCTAAACAAGGCCACTTTACAAATTTCTTCATTCACTAGGATGCAGATCTCACTAACTCCCTTGGAAAGAGATGGTGGCACAGTATCCAGGGCAACATTCTTCCTCTTGCTTCTGATTAGCAAGAAATGCATCAAGTACAAAGTTAAGTCACAGTCTCAGGTAGACTCTAGGAGAGGTACTAAATACATTAATGTTGTGTATAAATCACTCATTGGACTTTACGTTTATGGGCTTGTTGGTTTTGGCTTCAGGGCATGAGAACTTTTTTTTTCTCTCAAACATAGAGTTGTGCAGAATGGAAGGAAATCAACATTAACAATGATCATAGAATTATAGAATTATTATAGTTGGAAAAGGCTTCCAGGGTTATTCAGTCCAACAGTGCACTCACTAACAATACTGCTCACTAAACCATGTTCCTTAGTACAACATCTACACGTTCCTTGAACATCTCCAGGGTGTGGGAATTGAATGTTGTTTCTGCATCAGAACAAAATAAGAATTTTGTTAATTTTCTGGCCTCTCTACCATTTGGGTCCTTTATTAGAACTAATAGTTCTTTTCAGGTGCCTTTCTACTTTATTGGGGTTCTCTGATAAGTTTTCATTGCTAATCCCCTAGATAAATCTTCCCAAACAACACATACTCAGTGTATAAGTAAAGTAATTTGTGTGTGTATATATATATATGTAGAGATTAGGTAGATGGAGTAAATTATAAGAATACAGAATTAAAGGATATATATATAAGATAGTAACAACTTATGTATAGCCAGCATTGAAAATATATGTCACACATATTGCAAGAGTGTCCTGTGAAAATAAAAAGGACAATTCGTTACATGCCTCAGGGAGTGCCTGAAGAAGGTGTGGAGGAAGATCGGGCACCTCCCCTCTGTACTCTTTGTTTAACAAAGACTCTGAAGAAAATCACCTTATCAATAATGAACAAGGAGAGTGTTGAGACATCTTGGAGATGACAGGACTGACACCAAATAACAAATAAATTAACAAGTAATTAACAAATGTAATTGCCTTCTGATAAGATTGTGAACCTGGAGTACCCAGCCAGTGGGAAATAGGGGAGGCAAGGGTATACAGGGTATACAGGGTATAAAGGCTGTCGTGTTGTGTCCATAGGTTGCCCGCCATTGCAATAGTGAATAAATTCTGCTTTATCAGAGATACCATCCCGACAAAAGTTATTTGGACATTTCCAACAAGGGACAGTGACTCAACCGCCTCCCTGGGCAGCCCATTCCAGTGCCTGGCCACTCTTTCAGAGAATAAATTTTTCCTCCCCTGGCACAGCTTGTGGCCATTCCCTCTAGTCCTGTCGCCAGTTAACCAGAAGAGACCAACACCCACCTCAGCACAACCTCCCTTCAGGCAGTTGTAGAGAGCAATAAGGTCACCCCAAGCCTCCTCTTCTCTGTGTTGCTATCATTTCAGCTCAAGGGGAGCAGATATAAGGCTTTGGTAGGTCATCTGACCTCTCTCTTCTTTGCCAGGCTCTCCTCCCTGCTGCTCAACCAGACTGTGCATCTCACCTCAGTGTTACGGTGAGGCCTATCCACCTTTTGGACGTTCTCTCTCATTATATTCGATTTATCATCTTCAATTCTAATTATATTATATTATACTGTGTTATCTTGTATTTCAATACCATTATTATATACCATAATGCATATATCAGTAAATTAGTTTCTCCTCAGATCATTGCAGCTGTTTTTAATTATTTTGGGGTCCCCGTTTCCCTTTTCCAGAGGGGTGGATTTGTGAAACCCCTCTGTCCTGCTAGTCACAGAACCGGGCTGAGCCAGCCCCTAAACTGTTGACAGCAACCTTCATCTAAACCTCTCATAAACCTCTAGATTAAAGAAGCAGTATTTAGAACACTGCCTTGAAAGGAACAGCTATCCTTGCAGAACATTTACAAGCTTCCCTGTGTCACCGTTGTTTAAAAGATGTTTGATATTACATATAATTCCAAGGTATGTCTAGCACTTGCAGAGATTGCAATTTCTTTTCACAAAAGTGCATTGCTGTTAACTGGAAGAGCAGTGCTACTATTCTTTCTGGTCTTAAATCTGTGCAGCATTTTGCAGTATATACTATTCAACTTTGGAAGAAAAAAAGCTTTGCAGCTTGTAGGCTACTACTCTGTGGTCCCGTGTAAGCAATTGGAAGTGATAAACACAAATTGTAGTCAATAAAAGTACCAGTAGAGAAACAAAACAGAATAAACAAGACATGTGTTTATGAGTTATTTTTAAACAAGAAATGAAGCCAGCTCCAAATATATGATTGGGACGCCCAAGTGAGTAGATTAGTCTTGTTTCACGATATTAAGACATGATTGACCATGATTGAACAAACATGGTCTGCACCAAATTTCAAGATCTGTGAAAAGAGAAGAGAAAACTTCATCTACCATCTGATGATTCAGCCGGCATCATCACAAGAATAATAGTCTCAACTTTCAAGGTGTTGTTCTGAAAACAAGAAGGTTTCCCTCTTGATACTGACCCTGAATTCGAGAAATTTCTAAAATCATACATTAACTGTAAACAGAAATCTGAACTTCAGCACCAGGAAATTATTTGTCTCAGCCTATGGTAGCAGTCAAAAGCCTCCTCCCTCACACTGCTTCAAGATAATCAAGTTATAACCTTAAAGACTTTCTGTAAAGAGATTAGCTATCTCACCAGTCTTGAGTGCCTAAGGGCTACAGAAGACAACAGCACTGAGTGTCAGAAAAAATTCTTCCTTTTCGTTTCACAGCAGTGTGGGAATTGAATGTTGTTTCTGCATCAGAACAAAATAAGGATTTTGTTAATTTTCTGGCCTCTCTACCGTTTGGGTCCTTTATTAGAACTAATAGTTCTTTTCAGGTGCCTTTCTACTTTATTGGGGTTCTCTGATAAGTTTTCATTGCTAATCCTCTAGATAAATCTTCCCCAACAACACATACTTGGTATATAAGTAAAGTAATATGTATGTATATATATACATATAAGCTAGTAACAACTTATGTATAGCCAGCATTGAGAATATATGTCGCACACGTTTGTAAGACATTATTCTGTAAAACATCATTTTCTCAAAGCTTGCTGGGGACGCAGATGAACCAGTCCAGGCAAGTCCTGGGCAGAGGTTGTGAAATCCTTTTTCTGGAGAACTTTGATGGACAAATCCTGGGCAAGGGTTGTGAAATCCTTTGTCTGGTGGACACAGATGGACAAGGCCGGGGCAAGGAGAGAGAGATGAGCTGCAGCTAAATGGCTGTGAAGTGCTCTTTTGTGTGGGCTTATCTCAGGATGATGGCCATCTCAGGGGATACTCACATGACTCAACTCAAGAGCCCAGGGATGTCACATAGGCAGGAGAACAAGTAGGATAAAAGTGGAATCGAAAACCATGAGGACGGGTGTCTGACATCAGATTCCTCACTACGGAATTCCCGCATGCTGACAGACTCTCCTGGGCCTGCTACCTGAGCGCTGCTGCTTGCTCCCGGATTGGCTCTGCGACTGTCTCCTGCTATCTGCTTGCTGCCCAAAGCCAGCCACGCTGCTGCTCCCCTCCCTGCTGCTTCTGCCGTGGACCTTCGAAACGTCGTGCAACGGGACCGCTGCTGGATCCTGGTGGTGACTATCCCCACTTTATGCAGTTCTTGCTTCTTTCCTATCTTTTCTATCGCCCTCCTTTATAGGATTTATAATAAACTGGTTGGACCAACATATCAACCGTTGCTTCTTAATCTCATGCCGGATATACAGATATTAAAAGAACCTCATCTCCTTCCTATAAGCTGGAGCAAGACAACATTGCAACAGTGTTCTGCACAATTTAAAAGGGGCAATTCGTTACATGCCTCAGGGAGTGCCTGAAGAAGGTGTGGAGGAAGATCGGGCACCTCCCCTCCATACTCTTTGTTTAACAAAGACTCTGAAGAAAATCACCTTATCAATAATGAACAAGGAGAGTGTTGAGACATCTTGGAGATGACAGGACTGACACCAAATAACAAATAAATTAACAAGTAATTAACAAATGTAATTGCCTTCTGATAAGATTGTGAACCTGGAGTACCCAGCCAGTGGGAAATAGGGGAGGCAAGGGGGAAAAACAGGGTATACAGGGAAAATCAATATTCTGGCCAGAATATGAATCTGATGAAGATTGTGTGTGTCAGATTCTGAATTCATATGTAAAGAATAAAACCCCCTTTTCAAAGGAGGAATCAGACTACACTGCTTGTTGGATTCAAGAAGCCAGTCTGTTACTAGTAAGGAAATGTCCAGAACAGGAAGGTGAGGAACTAGAAAAGAGAACTAATCAATGGGACCCTCTAAAGAATCTACCTCCCCCATATAACCCCAATGTAGCCCCAAGGGCAATGGCTGTAGACCCAGAAAGAGAAAATGGGGAAGCACATGGGGTCATTTCACAGGAGGGGAGGTATGCTGGGCTCAGGAAAGAGTTAGAACAATGTAAAACGGATATTGAAAATTTTCCCTTCCCTAAAACTAACCATACTAAGGCCCCCTTGTATGCTTTATGGGAGGTTCCACTGGGACAAGGGGAAATAAGCTATGTAAATTCCCCACTCACTAGCAGAGAAGGAATTTTAAGAAGGAAATGAAATCCTTAACTGAGGATCCTATAGGAGTAGCAGAGCAATTAGATCAATTTCTGGGGCCAAATTTCTACTCATGGATGGAAATGATGTCTATTATGGACATATTGTTTACTGGAGAGGAAAGAGGTATGATTAGGCGGGCAGCTGTGCAAGAGTGGGAAAGGAATAACCCTGCTGGGTGTCCTGAGGTGGTACAGGCGGAGCAAAAATACTCAGTGGAAGACCCTAACTGGGACAGTAATAATCCACAACGTCGGCAAAATATGAAAGACTTACAGGACATAATAATCACCGGGATTAGGGAGGCGGTACCCAAGTCCCAGAATTTTACTATGGCATTCGAGGTTCAGCAGAATAGGGAAGAATCCCCTAGTGAATTTCTTGAAAGGCTTAGAGACAGAATGAGAAAACACTCAGGGACGAATCCTGAGGATCCTGCAGCCCAACGGCTCCTAAAAGTTAATTCTGTAACTAAGGCGTGGCCAGATGTGCAAAAGAGGCTTCAGAAGATAGAAGGATGGAGTGAGAAGTCTCTGGAGGAGCTCTTACGAGAGGCTCAGAAAGTGTATGATAGAAGAGGAGATAAGAAAGAAAAATAAAAGGCAAAGTTAATGGTTTCCACAGTGGAACATGTGGTGAAAAAATGAACGGGTAATGGAGAAAAGAACATGGAAGGGAGATTGGGCCCTGGAGGGAAGCAAAGAGAGGAAGGATGCCAAGGGTATTGAGTGAGGCCCCAGTTGGAGCAGAGTGCTGGGAAATGTTTTAAATGCAGTAAGCCAGGACACATAAGAAGAAACTGCCCTGAGTGGAAGAGGGAGAAAAAGTTACTAGCAGCTTTGAATTCAGAATAGGGGGATCTGGGGCTTTCAAAAATTTGGTCCCACCAGGAGCCCTTTGTAAACATGAGAGTGGGACCTGAGAGGGAAGAGGTTGTGTTTTTAGCTGATACTGGGGCAGCTCGACCATCACTGGCCCACAGAGTGTCAGGACTCAAATTGACAAATGAGACCCTAAGAAGATCTGGCCTATGACTAAATAGCTCTAGCTTGGTATGGGAAATATGGGGAATGATACCATCGTGTCCTGTGGAAAACAGGATGCAGTGGGCATCCCTGCTCCCTCTTATCTGCTGGCAAGGCCCAGAAGACGGGAACAAAGGAGTTTCTGCTGAGATCCCAGAGCCAGAAGCTGCCACTACAAGGAGAGTTGACTCAACCACTTTGGACTTATAAAAGAGTTGGTACTACCATTGAAAAGGGGCCATCATTGCCGTGGTCACTGTAGTCATCAACAGAACAACGATGCCCAAAACCCACCACGACTGAAGATGAATGGCTGAACTCTGATCCACGCTGGATCCATGGTGGTGACTGTCTCCCTCTTGCTTCCTACAAAGACTCCTTGCTTCTTCTTTCCTACCTTTTCTATCGCCCTCCTCCCCTTCCCCATTTCCCTGGTTAAGATTTGTAACAATTTGGTCAGACCAACATTTGAACCGTTGTTTCTTAATCGCATGCAAGGTATGCAGATATTAAAAAGAACCTCCTCTCCCTCTTACAAATTGGAGCGAGACACTCCCTCTACACTAGGTTGCTCAAAGTCCCATCCAACCTGGTCTTGAACATTTCCAGGGAAGGGGCATTCACAACCTCACTGGGCAACCTGCTCCAGTGTCTCACCACCCTCAGAGTAAAGAATTTCTTCCTAATATCTATTCTAACTCTACCCTCTGCCAGTTCCTGCAGGCAGTACTTCCTGTCACTTTTAAAAGTATCCTGAGCTGCATCAAACGTTGTGTGATCAGTAGGTCAAGTGAGGTGATCCTGCTCCTCTTCTCTGTGCTGGTGAAACCTCACCTGGAGTTCTGCGTCCAGATGTACTCCACATCTGTCTGGAGGACAGGTTCAGAGAGCTGGGGCTGTTCAGCCTGGAGAAGAGAAGGCTCTGAAGTGACTTAATAGTGGCTTTTCAGTATCTAAAGGAGGACATAAGAAGGAAGGAGATAGATTCCACCAGGGTTTGCTGTGACAAGGACATGTTACACGTTACATGCTACAGGTCATGGTTTCGAACTGAAAGAAGGGAGATTTAGATTGGACACATGGAAGAAATTTTGTACCGTAAGGGCAGTGAAGATCTGGAAAAAGATTGCCCAGAGAGGTGCTGGAAGCCCCCTTGTGGGAATAAGGTGACATATTTCTTTCTGGCTCAGACTGTAACAACACTACAGAACTGTAACATTGTGAATTCTTTCTCTCAATGGTTAAGAGATGGATTTACAACTGGCTACTGGAGACAGAACTGCAACAATATCTTGTGAAGGCCTCAGAACAAAAACTGTACTGTAACACTCTTCTGAAAGTTGCAGAACAAGCTCAAGTTTTGCACAAGCACAGTGGAGAAGCCAGTTTAGTCCTCTCCCTTAAGGTGCTCTTGGGTCCTACTCCACCTACGACCCTCTATGACCACCACACAAAGGGAGAAGAATTGCTGGCTCAGAATGCACACAGCATGTAGTATCAGACTCTCTCTGCCTGGCAATAGCTCCTGGTGCAACTGGAATGGATCGTATCCATAAAAGGAACTGCCAACTGCGCAGCCAGCGGTGCTTGCCCCACTATATCACCTCAGAAGGAGGAGGAGGAGGAACACGGACCCTCAGGACATTACAGTATCTGTCCTGGTGACTTGCTTTTCTTTCCTTTTTTCTCTCCTTTCTTCTTTTTCCTTCCTCGCTCATCTTTTAATAAAGGCACATCACTGCTCAATCAGCACTTGGCTCTGTTCTGTCTTGGCTTGGGGCTGTGATTGCTGTAATGAACTGCTCTGGCTTGTAACTTGTAACTGTCCTTGGAAACATTCAAGGTCAACCATGACGGAGCTCTGAGCAAGCTGATGTAACTGTAGGTGGTTCCTGTTCAGTGCGGGGGAGTTGCACTAGATGACCTTTAAAGGTCTCTCCCTGCTCAGATGATTCTGATTCTTTAAGACAGCAAAGCCTTTTTCTCCTTCCCCTTACCCCAAAGCATGACGTGCAATTCCAGGTACTCACCTTAGTTCCAATAAGTTCAGGAGCCAGATTCAAGTAGCCTCTGATTCATATGATTTGCCATGCACTGCAAGATAGTCCTCTGTGCCCAGAGTAAACCAAATAGAGTAATTCAGCTTTCCAGTACAACCCTCTGTAAACAAGAGGGGCACAACCCTCTATCAACAGGAGGAGCGTTTGGGACTTATAAGCTTTCTTGGGTTTCAAAAGTTTTTCCACATAAGGGATTATTAAAATCTACTTTCTCGGCTCTGTATTTAAATGAATGGTTACAGCAGAACAGTGATTAATTATTCAGAAGTATTGAGGGTTGTCAGTTAGGGTAGTATGTTTAGGTCATGGGTGGACTCGATGATCTTTAAGTTCTTTTCTAACCTGAGTGATTCTATGATGCCACCTTCATAGGCACTGGCAGAAGTTCATATTGTACAAGTGGCTTAAATGGATTGCAGTTCTAAATTCAGACCCTAAAGAGAACAAAGATTTTAGGATCTTACAAGATCCAGTATTAGAGAACCAAGTTCAAAATCCAAACCATTTGCTCTCACTATCTGATCAGTGGAGCATCTCCTATGGAAATTATGTTACTAGCAACTCAGCCCACAGTTCTGAACAGTACTTGATTTCTACTGTTTTAATAATCAATAAGCTACTATGGGAATGTAATAGTTGAAGAACATTTTTTCTCCTTTTAGACTTGAAGTACTTTGGTTGTTTTTCTCCAAGAGTGAAATGAGAGCTGCAACCAGAGTGAAGTTCTGCTTAGAGCAGTTGCAGTACCTTGTGAGGGGATGCGGGCAAAAGTTTTTCAGCATTAGATTTCATATCCTCAAAGAATTAGCGCAGATTTCTGCCTCATTCCCAAAGAAAAGTGGGAATGAGTGGCATCACAACTACCCTGCTACTCCACAACAAAGGCCACCATCTAATCTAAGTCTCTACTGGACACAAGACCATAAAAGAGTTTATATGCATAGAACTCTGCCAGATTTCTGTGATCCATGTATACTCCCCCAGCTACGTCCTGCTCTCTATATATGCAAAACTGTTAAGGACATGAGAGCTCACAGCCATTTCAGTGGCATAACTGAATTCCAAAGTGTTTACAAGATGGAGTCTGCATTTTATGGCTCTGTTCAAGTCCTATTACTAGTCTGTAACAGAAGAGCTGGTAACCAAGTGGAGCTTGTTATCTGACAGTCAGATACCTAGAGATAGTAAAAGCTAGATATATGATCGCAGCAATTTCATTTTTCTCACATTTATCCTGTGTTAAATGATGTTTCCACTGCTGCCTTGCCACAGGGACGTTGCATTTAAAGCTCTCTAAAAACAACACTGTAGTCAGCTTCAGCAGTAGCAATAGCACACACTGCTATTTCCTCCTCCTGGATACAACTCACCTAAAGAATTAATTTTAAGGGCTCAG